ATTAACATAAATCATATGTCTATCGCATAGTCATCACACATTTAAAACAATTTGTACTACGAAAAAATAGAATGAAAATGTTATTTTCTACTGCAAGAAGGTTTTGCCTTACTTGTCTTTTACTTTTTACGAAGAGAACTATTTTTCACATCACTTTCCATTTTGGATGTTTGCCTAAGTACAGTAACTTATCGATTGCACCGATTTATATCCTTCCGGCTTCATTCTGGATATTGAAGTCACAATTTTCTCAATGATTATTTCTTTTATTTTTTCATTCTCCTATTGGAATGTGTCCGCGCATACTCTATTTCGCCACTACATTTATATTATATTCCTGTAGCATATCCTTTTTGTCCCTTTCATTCTTAGAAATTACTAAAATAAGAGTCTAGAAGGCTTTGAATCATATGATTCTTTTTTTTCACCTTTTCATTAAAGAGCGATCCACTGGTATTAATCAATTCATCCCTAAATTTACTAATTGAATCCTGGCTCTCATTGATAAGATCTACAAATTCGTTTAGTTCAAAAGATTCCCGATCAAGTAGAGCATAGAAACGCATATTATAAAAAACTTCATGCTCTTTTTTTCTTCTCCATATCATGTCAGAATAATCCTCCAATTTATAGTCCACTAAATCATCATGTGTCTTGTACTTCGCTGCCAGAACTTTTAAATGTTCTGATAAATCGTTCTCTATATTATCAAATTTACTTGCTTCAATAGAACGCACTTGCCACCATATACTATTCATGTCGCACTTGCATGGGACACTTTCTAATGTATTTACTAAATGATATAACTCTTCTTCCGTTAAATGTACGTGTTCTTCAAAACATTTTTTCCGCAATATAGCTATATCAAAAGAGCACAATTTTATTGGTGCATTTTTCTCCTCATTTCTTTTATAATATGTTCCCACACATTTCTTCTTCGTTCCACAACTTGAATCAACTTCTGAAACAAGTAAATTCGTTCTGCCTGTTTTATTTTTTAAAGCATTATATCCACAATTGTCGTCTTCGCTCAGATGGCTTAGACATCGATTACGTATTTGGGTCTCTGAAGAGTTCAGTTTCTGAAATGAAAATATATTCTACGGAAAAATTGAGAAGGAAATTTAAATAATGTTAGCAGAAGTTGTATTCACACGAATGTGTAGTGCAAAAATATAGTCTCATCCGCATAAACATTTTTCTTCCTTACCATCAGCAATAAAAAAATAGTAGCGGCTAGATATACGGTAGAACGCGTACAACAAAAAAAAAATAAAAAATATCTATTCTTAGTATTTTCAGTACCCATAATATTAATATATGTGTGCAAATTCTTAAGATGGAAATTATTTTTTTCTTCAATGTATGTGATCTGATGCGGAATAGCACCCGTTAGCGTATGCACATTCAGAATTTGTTGCGAAAAAAAAGATTTATATGTGAGCGCATGTACATAGACATGTATAGGTATTATCGTCTCCGTAAAAATATACTCTAAATTTATATTCATTGGCAAACACCGCATTAAGAGGAATAATCATTTAATGAAGTGTAAAATTAATGTTTAAAGAAGAACAACAGAATTCGCTACTTGGCAAAATGAATCATTATATTAGCACGAAAAACAGATATATGTAATTTTTCAGAACAATCCTCCTAGAATCCATTTGTCCTTTATTTTGTTCAACAAAGCCAAGTATTATTATCATTCCTTAAGAGTTCAGAATTGTCCGAACTTTAATCCTTTCCCAAAGTAAACATTCTTGCAACAATTTAGTCCATTCGGTACATCACAAAAAAAAAAGGATTACAATTCCTCATGTTTCATGGTAAATATCATGGAACTAATAATAAAAGAAGAAAAATTAAATTATTACTATTATTATTTTCCTCCGATAAAGAGAATTCCAATATTTTATAAAGCATATTTACCCTTTAATTTTAAACTTTTTTTTTTTTTTTAGCTTAAAAATTACATCCATCACGTTTCTTTCCTTATTCCCCTTCTACCTGCACCCAGAAATGATCAATTTTTTTACACATTCTCATATAATAGTAATAAACTTCAGAAAGGGCAAACAATTATTTACGGAAATATACGACAAACCATATTTAAAGCATATTAAAAAAGAAGAGTAAGGATACGACAAAGAATTCATTAACGTAATCTGAGTCTCATATACTGCAATTTTTATATTTTCTATTTTTTGTAATAGACCTTACAATTGTTTTTTCCATTTTTGCACAACTCAATAAATATTCCTTCTTAAAAATTCTCACTCCCTTTTTCATTTACATATATTAATAGTTAGTGCTATTTTTTTTCCTCTTATGTATTCTGAATGAACATAAAGGAACATTCGCACTTAACTTATTTTTATGTGTAATTTCCCTTAATAGTTGGTATACAATGCATTGGAACTATGCAAAATCAAGGGGGCATAAAGGATGTAAAATGGATCGATGGGTTTATTAAGAAATGGTCCATTAACTACGTTCAAAACAGAATATACTGTAACATACTTCATTAATGGGATGAGGGCTATGTTTCAATTACTTCTCCAAATTATTGCGAACTAACAGCTAAAAGCTTGTTACGTTGTTTCAGTTTGCTACATCTCTCTGTAGGGTAAGAATTAATCCCATTCCTAGGAACTGTGCTCTTTTAAAGAAAAAGCATATATATATATATTTACTAAAAAATCCCCAGAGAATAATTAAATTTTAACTACTCCCGTAATTTCGTTTTTATAGCGAACATTTATTGTTTTATCTTATCATTTAATTTATGCACTTAAAATGAAATTTTAAGAAAATGATGCTTCACTAAACGGTGTACCCTTATTTAGTACCATTCCTTCATCATTGTACATAGGAAGAAACTTACCATATATATATTTTTGTTCGTATTTTTTAAATTATAATTTTATCTCTGATACAATTCTGCACAAAATGTTAACATAAGTATGCATAGAACAGAAGAATTGATAAAACTCGACATGTTCCTTTTTAAATTGACAGAAAATACCAATGATGCCCCATTAAGGTAAAAATATAGTCGAAGTTCATGTCCTAAGCAGTATCCTTTCATAGACAACGTTAATTAGAATGAAGGACGTGTCTCTAATCGCAGGATACCTTCAGAAAGGCTACATTTGCACACATATACATATTCCATACAATATAATATACTACAACAATGTATGCATGTAATATATAACAAAAGAATAATTCATTTTTTAGGAGAAAAAATACTTTTACAATCCCCTCCAATGCGCGGAAACCTCTTTAATACAGTAATCCACTAGTCCAATGCTATTAAAAATCATGGCATTGTACACTTCATTTTTTGACGTTTTTTTCCTTCTTTTTTGTCGTGAAGACGGATTAGCACCTAGTAATAACACACACGGAAGTTTCCCAATTCCATTAATAGGAATTACAAATTCTTCACATTAAAAATTACGTGATTAAAAGGGGGCCATAATAGAAGATCATATGTCTATAATGCCCGTGTCATACAGTATTCCGTTACAGCGTAAAATACCTATCTGTACACTGCGAAAACAGCATTGCAAAAATTTGACCAGAATTGTATTCTAGATGACCTAATTGTTTATAAAGAAGCCTCATGAGTGATCATCGCTTTAAATTAAACAAGGCGTCAGACGGTAGATGTATCAATCATCCTTTTTTAGTTCATTCATACACCGAAATTAATCTTAATATAACATAAATTAAAGGAACATCAAATTCTCCAAGACTCCCGGCCCCAATTTTTTTTCCCTGTTCACCACTCCAGGTTGAAATAAATATGTCTATACAAAACATGCAAATAAGTAGTTATATAATGCGTCTTCACAAATCCATAGGCTATAATAAGAATAATTCATTATACATATTTATGCATGTCCCAACATGTATGCACATAAATATACATTCATCCCTATACATGAAGAAATTAAGAAAAAAAAAAAAAAAAAAGGACAAAATGCGCACTTAAACTTCTACAAATGAATACATACGAATAATTCAAACATCACAAATGTATGGATAAATAAAAATAACTCAAAAGGAATAAAAAGACATCTGAGATGTATTAATAATATCCATGTTGCGTATAATAACTCCCCAATACTAAGGTCACCGTGCATATTAAGTTTAAGACTGCCTAATGATAACAGTTTCCTGTAGAGTGTAATATCGAATAACATCATTTTCGTCCCTCACCTAATCGACGTTATGATTATCATAGAATGACATTTAGTTGCTGACTATATGTTATGTATATTGCACTTAAGAAAAATGATTACACGCATATTTTAAAAATCCTCCTACATAAAGCATTATTATATCAATTCCTTTTTCTGGTTCCTTCAAGAACAACTCTGCAAAAAGCATAGGAGTAACAGGAAAATCATCCCTTTTTGTTTTGCTCGGTTTACTTCTAGCGCCATTGACATTATTTCTTGTGCATCTAAGCTGTTTCGTATCTTCTGAAACCTTCTCATCCCTGGGTTTGTTGGTAATTCCGGAGGATGGCTTGCCATCAATTCCAGTTTTTTCGTTTTCCTGGTTTTCGCGTCTCACAGTATTTGAGCATTTTCCGCTTCCACTATCGCAGCCGGAATGTCTTTTACTGCTTGTAACTGTAGTTAATATTCTTCCATCTCTTAGATGTAACGTTCCTCCTTGGTTACTCTGATATGAATACTGTTCACCGACATTCTAAACAAAGAAATAAGTGCAGACATACATATATATATGTGTATATATATATTCGTGTGAATAAGGATACCAATGCAGATAAATATCCCTATTGTGGACATATGTTAATATTACTCAAAAGACATGAATCACACGTAATTGAAGACATCACGCATTTCAATGATCTTACGTTGCTACTGTAACCACATAGCGTCCAAATTAGTAAAAAGAAGACAAAAATTCTCATGCAACACTTGGACATCGCTATTTTTCCCCTCTTCAGGCAATTCTTTTGGGTTTGCATTTTTTGATTACTAAGATTCTTCTATCTATATTTTTTATTATATCAGTCCAACAGGCATACTTCGTTCTTTAAATAACAGCATATAAATCAGTAAACGAATAAATAAATAAAAATCCATATATACGAATTATGACCTTTGTTATAACATTTTTCGCTTTATTTTAAAGAGCGCATTAACAATTTTGGACAAAAGGGAATAATACAGACAGCAATGAAAGAACATAAAAATTTAATAACAATACGGCATAATTTTGTAATTATATAAAGAAATATGTAACTTTTCAAAGCATATTAATATTTTATGAGACAATAATACTAATTACTAAATTCTTTAGTCTTACAATTTTGTGAATATCTAATAAAAAAAAAATATAATGAATTCTTCTTTGAAAAACTCTGAAACTGAAATTACAATATGAAAAAAAAAAAAAAAAAATCAGAGTAAACCCACAAAAACATAACTGTAATTCTGAAGTAATATTTAAGAAATCACATTTCTTGGTTCCTCAAATGATGGTGGCCTATATATACAAACATTAATTTTAATTTTAGTAATGCATTATTATCATTATGTCGTAATCATTTTTTACGTATTACCTCACCTTACGTCCTGCTTATAATTAAAACATTATTAACGTGTATGACGTATAAACCTTATATAATAACGATGACGCAACTTGTTAAATCCTTTTTCCCAGAACAGTCTATGTTATTGCATTACTTATACATTTCTTGTAATTTTATGGTGCCCTTAATTATTCTGTACCATCCTATATTATAAATCCTATTATGTTATATGCATATTTATTCACATCCTGAGGTAACAGAAAATATCGGATGTTTTCAATTAAAAAACAGATTAAAAATATATGGACCCAATTTTGAAAGCGATAATTTCTAATTTATTTACGTCAAATTTTTATGAAAATAAATAACACGTAAGTGAAAGTTTTTATTCCCTTGTCATAACAGAAAAATAATTAAAGGTTTTCTAAGTTAAAAAAAAAATGATGCCAGAAAATTTCAAAATTCAGAAAAAAAAAGAAAAAAATATACTTAAAAAGGAAGATATCGCATGAATCGATCATTCCTCTTTTACAATTCTTGCATAATTACTAAAATCATTTCAATTTAACCATGAAAATAGTAATAAGCAGAATATGTCATTAAAGCATTTTTACATTCCAGCATGTAAAAATGTATTTAATTTACAATGTTTCTTGTAATAAATTACCCCAAATTAAATGCTTTAACGGAAAAATTATTCTAACTGTTAATATTCCGCACTGACAAAAATTTTTAGGAACATTCTACAGGAAACTCGCGAGCATTATACACGAATTGAGAAAATGCAGATAACTCTCTAAAAAGTTCGCGAACTACATATAATTGAATGTTTCTACCACATATTTGCATTTTCGTCTTAGTACTTAAAAGATGTTTTAGTAAAAGGGCAAGCGCTGTGAAATTATGCGCTTGTTTCAAAGTACATAGAAAAAAAGAGGGGAATAGTATTTATACAAGAAGTAGAAATAAAACGAAATATTATTACTTCATTTCTATATCTTGCAGGAAACAGAAAAAATGAATACAAGCCTTGTCTAATAATGAATGTCTTCTCCTTTACAAATAAATTCATATATAGGTACTAAATTTTTTTTACCCCCCAGAAAGATAGCTCCATTTCCTTGAGAAAAAAAAAGGTTTTCGGTGCACTCATAACTTCATAACAAAAAATCGCACATCCTTTTTGAATACTTCCATTATATAAGTACTTCAGTTTCCCTATTAAATAAGAGAATACCTAACTGATAGTAACAGTCGCTTTTCACATAATGTATCAATATAGCATATTTATAAACTTTCTTTTTTAGCGTTCCCTAAAAATGCTTCTACAGGGTACTTTATAACTGAGGTGAACGTTCATTTCAATAACTACTCCTATTATGAATATATAATGTGTTATAAACATGAAAGGAAAAAATTTATTTGTTCTTATTAATAATAACTGTAACTGCTCCAACACCTTTTGATGCATTTACTTTTAAACGTTTCCACTGACAAAAAATTTATATGAATAGTTCATTTTGTTTCGAAACTATATGTTTTAGTGAATTAATATTTAATATGCCTAATTAATCTCTAACTTTTCTGAAGAAGGTTTCGCAATTGAATAAAATATAGATATGTCTGCATTTACATGAATGTGCGCAAAGAAACATCGGTTTTCCCTTCACTGAATATAGTTATTAATTAGTCAAGTTAATATACATATATTTATTCATATACAATGAAGTGGAAAAGAGGCGCTTCGCTAATAAGATTATGCTGCGCACTAAGTCAAATGATTTAAATGCAAAAATACTTTTAACATTAGGTTTTAATCTTAAAATTAGTGCTTACGTCTTTATAGAACCCTCTTAGTAACATAAGGAGGCACAAAAGAACTACTATACCTGTGACCCCCCAAAATGGTCCTATCTTCTCGGATACATGGAGGACCTAGAAATATGCATTAGCAAGGCCACTACTGAATATGAATAAAGAAACTGGACATCTTTTAAGATAATATAACAAATTATTCTGAATCTATCTGCATATCCCCCTAATACAATATAGACAGAAATAATTGAATTCATAGGTAAACCAGTGATTTAATGATAATTTATTCTTCTATCACCTTTTTCTAAGAAAAGAATATTATATAGTCATAGCCTTACGGTTCTATATACATTTAATATGGAAATGTGTCCTTATGATGTTTTTACATTTCACCTCTGAAATCCTATTCTACAGTTAGGCATGAGATTACTACTAAATAGGTTTAACACGCAAGTGCAGTACAAAAACGTTCCAGCGGAATAGGTTACACTATGGCTACAGAAATGGTTTGGCACCGTTTTTATGCATACACGCTTGTAGAAATAAATACAGCCCGCTGTTCTTTCTAATGGTACATATGATTACATAGCAAGTAGTACAATTTCTCCATAATGAAAGAATCCTTAAAACACAAATGAGTACACTTACGTTTATGATATGATATTTTTTCACCACACAAGTTGCTAATCAACTTAACGTTTACCACGTAGGGCCTGTAAAAAAAAAAAAAAGATAACATTGATAAGAACAAATACATAATTTCGCATAAAAGTATGAACCTTCAACCTGCAAATTAATAAGTCTGTTAATTTTAACTACTCCCGATATAAGAATGGTTTATTTTCTTTTCTTAAATATGTACATTTTTTCTTATTACAGAAATATTCCTTCTAAGGATTTTAGTATTTCATTCATGTACGCTGCTTCAGCTTCTTCCTCTTGTATCCAAGGACGGCAAGTATAATAAAAGAAAAAAAAAACAATATTTTCACGTTACATATCTGAGGTTTAGCAATTCTCTTTCTTACTGTACTATTTGAGTTCATAAATTTCCCATACACACAAAAAGGTAGGTACAAGAAACAAGAATAAATTACCATGTTACCAATTCGTTAATAATATATGACTGTCTTTATTGGAATACAAAGCATTTAATAGAAAATTCAAGAGAACATAACAGAAAAAATTGAGCATGAAACCTGTTTGTGCTTTATTCATTAGAAACGTTGAATTTGATTTATATTTTAACTTGTAAAACAATGTGTTACATTAAGAATGTATAAAATTAAAGATATTTTTTAACTCTTTTCTCTTTTTTATTTTTCTATTCTCTCCTTTGCACTTACAGGAATAGTGGGCAGAGAAGAAAAAGAAGAATCCGCCCATGAAAGAAATTATGTCCTTAGGAAATATTTTTCAAATTTGTTGCATTGTAATTGTAACTTTGAGTATTTAAAAATGATAGCATATATATATATATGCAATCATTTTTTTCTTCTTCTTTTGTCAATGTAAATTGTAAGAATAACATAAAATCTACATTACTAGTGTAAAACGGTATACTCGTTTCTATTATATCGCACTTGCCTTATAATTTACATTTACCTCTGTAGAAGGACTCCACCTATTTCTTATTCCTTTCTTAGTGATACTGATCGTGTTCCTCACTTGTCCAATAGCATATGAGGTTTTGTGAAGTATAAATCGCTGTACATTTTCAAAACTCCATATGAAAGACGCTATTAACTAAATAAACGAAATTTTTAAATAAACGAAATTTTCAAATAGACGAAATTCTCTCAATATTTCTAAATTATACATAATCAGGTATTTCTTGTAAAGATATTTTTGCCCTCCTTTGTTGTTAAATATATCTGCTGATGTGAAATTTGATTCAGTTCTGATGAAGGCAAAATATTCTTTGCACTTTTCAAAAGAGACGTGGCAAAAAATATATAATACACATATATATATACTCGTGACTAATCCGTCCTATTGAGTTCTACAAGGGATTTATTCATTTCGAAACCTCTTTTTTTTCGTTTCAAAAGTGGTCTCCAATTTTAAAGAAATTACATATAAGTAAGAAATAAAAAAAAACATACAAACATATGTTCTGTTTCGTCAGTACGTTTACTTCTACACCGCTAACGACATCAGCTAGGCATTTGTTTTCAGTATGATAAAAATTGAATTTAACCATACTACGATGAACTATAAGTTTTTTATATTTTCACTTCTGATGAGAATTCATTACAATTGAAATAAAAATGCATGACTCCACAAATGCACATGTACACATATATCCTTCGTTCCCTTTAAATCATCATATTGATCATATATTTTGGAAAGTTCGGCACGATAATGTACAGAATAAGAACACATACCTGAAGGGACGATTTCGCACAAGAACTAGCAGAATGTTGAAAGGAAGAAAAGCAATATAAGTGTCCAAAAAGATATGCATATTCAAAGGAAAGAATAACAGATATATTAGAACCTGATGATTGTAACGTTAGAAGACAATTTAATCCACTTGTGTATAATGACGACTTTCTAAATCTAGATAATCAATTAAGCTAGGATGGAAAATTTCAGAAATCAGTTAAGCAATTCAAATTTGTACACATCATTCACACACAATTTGATTCATTAAACAAAAGTGATGATATAAAGAGCTCATTTAATTTATCGCAGTCCGTGAATGATGATGAGCATGATTTAGTCGATGACATAAAAGGTGACATCACTCTTGAGGATTCAAGTTTCGATTTAAAATCTAACAATTATTTCGAAGCAAGAAATAAGCTAAGAAAAAAAAGGATATCTTAATATACCGCAAGAAGCAGGTAATATAGAAATAACCCATGATTCAATTATTCTTGAATTCTTAGAAAAACCTGATTCTAACTTTGAATGAGAAATATTCCCTTCAGTGAAAAAAGATAACAAATATTATCTGAGTAAGCACAGAGCCCGAAATTTATGCAGCTCTTTAGAAATAAATAAAACATTTATGCCATTCGCAGTTAACGGGTTCATAATAATTATATGCGCATTCGATGGCTCAGACCTATGTGTTTGTACACTTCAAATATTAGGATTCTTGATGGCAATTTACTTTAAGTATCGAAAACATAAGTTTCACAAAGTTTTCAAACGAAGGAAAAATGCACCACATATGCGTCACTAGATGCAATCCACTATTTTGAATACGCTTAAAATGTGATATAGGATTCGAAGCAAAAATTTTTTTTCTCGCGACATTTTTAATATCAAATTATTTGCTCTCTCCTGCTGTTCTCTTAAAAGGTTCATTTAATAAAAATTTTTAATTTCCTCCTTGAAATATATAACCATACAGATGCTACACTTCCACTTATGCAGCTTTAATTTCTTTAATTGTTATGCCAAAGGGAATTTGTTCGCTATATTTTCTGCCTTCTTTTACTATATTATATTTTGACGAATTTGTTGCTGCTTTCCTCTGTAATAGCTATGTGTTGGGAACTTCCTAAATTCCATTTTTTCAATGGACAATGAAAACGTTAACTATTCGGTAACTTTAAATTATACGCATTTTTTACAAGTGACCTATCCACGTCTTGGAAACATCTTTCTATTATTATGTATCCTTCTTCTATCATGCTTGTTGATTAAAATATAAACGTTCTAATTGCAGAAAGTTCATACGCAACCTTCTCATTTTGCGTTTTTCTCCTTTTTCTTTTCTCATGTGGGTCTTGGAGTCCTGATGAAGACCCTTATTTTTCAATCAGTTTGCATACATTGTCCCACTTTTCCTGGCCTAAAACTATGTTACGGATTAAATTTAATTTGGTATTCTCCTGTTTTTGTTTATTTCTTTCTTATGTCACAATTGTTTAAAGAAAAAAATAAAAATTATCACTTGGGTGTATTCTACATTGAATATTAATTAGGATGATGAATAAGTAACTTTTTATTTTTCCCTCGAATTCGTACATCATAATGTTCCATAAAATATTTTTATCTATTTTTACATAACTAATTCCTATGTGAACTTTATGGACAATCCATTACTGTATACTCTGTTCGTTGTGGCTTAAAAAATTTTTATGTGTTGCTAAAGGAAAAAGTCATTAGAACTGGCACATGCGTTAATTATGTCCAAGAAAATTGGGATAAGAAAAAAAGACAACATAAAAAAATACATAAGGGATGTTTTAAACAAAAATATACAAATATAAGTAAAAGTGCAAGTATATGGGGAAGTACCTACACACACATAAATATACATGTTCAACTTTTATTCTGCTTCTTATTTAGAAACAAAAGGGCGAAAATATGCCAATATGATTCCTTAAATATATTCAAATAGATGAGTAATAAACAAAGAGAAGTTGACTTATACGGCTAAAATTCATTTATGAAATATTTCAACATAAGTAACTATTGTCTTCCCTACCTCCCATCGGCATATTTATAATGGTACCTATATATATTATGTGAAATTGTGTCCCCCAATTCGATGAGTTTACTTACACAGTTTGATAAATATGCAGATGCGGATCAAGGCAGATGTCTGTAACTAATCTTTCTTTTTTTCCCTTACATACGCGAGAACCATTTTTGTTAGGCAGTAATAGAATATTTATGCCTTTTCTTTACCCATTGAGGTCTACATTTTTTTCTTACATTTTCTTGCTTTTTCTTCTAAATAAACTTTCTAGCGTTGTTCTATTTCTTGCCTCATTCTAATCCAGGTACATCTTACATCTCTTATAAAAGTAATATATGCTTCCTTTGAGCCACAGATTTTAGCAATAATATGGTATAATTCCTCATAAATTTTTCGTTCTTTGTGCATTAGCTCATCTATGACAGAAGCTAAGACTTTCAACCACTGCTTAGTTTTATACGAATCTGGTATCCTGGAATCATCTGCGTAATCATGCCAATACGACATTAAACCTTGCAATGTATCAAAGAACTTATTTCTCTCTATCATATTGACAAGAAGGAATGTATTAAGCATATCAGTATCTTGCACCAAATCATCTAAATTCTCCAGCATGGCATCCACATCGTGCTGTGATATACTACAAGCACTATTTTGGGAACTCTTTTTATATGTTTCATGAGAACATACCCCTTTATTGGTCTGCGTGTTACCCATATCATTAACTCGAGATATAAAATTATTTGTATTATCAGCCTCTGCAGCTTCCCCATCCTCTGAGTATCCCCACATTATATTATCAGGCCAATCCAAGCTGCCATCATTAGTATCAGGACATGTTTCCTCTTTGTGGACATTGTACATATAGGGCTCACCATTGTAGTATTCTCCGTTTGCGTAATTATGGTTGTTGCCTTCTCCATCTGCGTATGTTTGATCCTTCCTGTTATTTTCATCATATATCTCCTCACCATAATAACATCCATATCCATCAGTGTAACTCGTATCAATATATTGCCCATTTTGTACCTTATATTCATCATAATTTTCCTGTTCCTCAATATATTGTTCACGATTATTATTGCGTTTACCATTCTTTTTTACAGAAGTTCTTTTATTTTTCTTATGGTTCCTAACCATGTAACCCTCAGAACCACGTGCATCCTCTTGAAGATCAATTAAATCTCTAGAATTACATTCGTCATGACTGTTGTTTGATGTATTTTCAAAATCGTTTCTTCCATTGTGGTCTGCAATTTTATGTTTTCCATGACCTTTTCTCGTTTTTCTAAAAAAAGATTCAGTTAACAATCTTGAGCATCGCTCACTACCGTATTGTGACTCTGAGAATGTATTACCATAATGTGGGTATTTATTCTATAAAAGAAAATTTAAATAAAAGTAAGAAAAAAAATGAAAGAAGTTATTAATAATGATGTTAATATTGAATGGACTTACAAAAATGGAGCAGGAAATGATTAAAACGAATAATAGAAAAAGCGCCTAACCATTAATGAAAATTGCATTTAATCTTACCTGTAAACAAAGACATAGTAATGCGGCCATCACCACCGTTATGTATCATGATGGTACAAATCGCCTGTAACCCGTTATATTCATTCTATTGGGCATTCCTACTGAAGTGTTATTAATAGAACAAAATTTCATGAGTCTTCATGCGGAATAAGGAAGCTAAAACTTCTTCCTTTAAAGTGTAAACTCCTTCTCTTCTACAACATTCAATATGAAATATACTGATGTACCTAAGAAGAAATATAAAGGTCAAAAGTCCAAATTAAATTGTCCACTTAAACTATACTAATCATTCGTATGGACTCCTAAATAAATATATATCCTGCCTATTTAAATTATGCACTGCACAACATCTTCTTAACTAATTGTATTTTATTATAAGTAAGGGTATTATTACCTTGCTGCACTTGTAACAATAAGGAAAAAATGTGAGCCACCTTTTCCTTGGAAACAGCTTTTAGATAAGCTTTTATAAATTGGATAAAATACATAAATAAAAAATATGTACAAAACTGTTAAACCTATATAATAGGCATTTTCTAACCTCTTTTTCTCTCTCTTACCAATTTAATAAAAAAATATAGAAAAATGTTATTTACTACTCTTTATTTTACCAACCTTTCTCTTTTTTGTTTTTCTTTTTCTTTTACTATTTAAAAAGATTGTGCTACAGTAATTTTTCACATAAGAACAATTTAAATTCTTGTATTCTCTTAATTTTTTTTTTTTCCGCTTTAGCTACTCCGTGTAAGAATATTTCATCGAATTCGATTATTTTAAAAAAATAAACTAATTATTTTATTATAAATTAAACACAGAATAAAAACTTTGAGTAAACGAAAAAATACAGTCAATAATTTTTCCTGATTGTAAATTTTACAAGTCACCGTGGATTCAATCAAACGATAACACTCTTCGACTGAGACGACAATTTAAAAATGCTTCATGAATTACCCATAATTACATACAACGCGTAATTTACTTCTTTAACAATATATAAATGTGTCCCATTGTTTATATATTCTCTACGTATATTTTTTCCATCTATTCTGTTCCATTTGTATATCTGCTCTTCGTATATATATTTTTTAGTAATATAAAATAATTCTTTACAGAAATACGAAGGGAATCGGAGTTAAGTTTTGTCCGTATTCGAATATTATTTCCTTGCCTTTTTGTTTTTATTTATACCTTCTAATTTTCATTTTCTCCGCCTACTTCTCTAAAAATAGATAGTAATTTATTCACAAAGAAAATCGCTCCCCCTTCCCAAAAAAAAAAAAGAGCAAAGGAAATTAGTACTATTTCGTTTGTAACCAAAAGATAAAAAGAAAATTACTTATTTTCTTTTTTTTAAATATAAATAATAGATGATTGTAAGCAAAACGACTTATACTATAAATGAATTAATATAATAATTTCTCCGTTTTTTTTTCTCTTTTTTGTCTTTTTATAAACTATTAATTCGTTTTTAATTTTTCTATAATTATTTGTTAATTCTCTATATATTTAGTAGAAATGAACTGATAAAAAAAAAGGTTGGCAGTTTTTAGCTCTGTAAGATTTTTAAAGTATATATAGAAAACATAACCACCTTGTTTAGTTCAGAAATAAGGAATCCTTTTATGAAATATATGAAAAAAGGAAAAATACCTCTTTCTTTCCTCATGAAAATACTTTTATTCTTTCTCTTAATTACTGCACAAAATGGATCCAGTTGTGTAAGACAAAAGATAAAAAAAAAAAAACTCTATTAGACTGTTCTTGCTTTATATTCTATATATAACCTTATACATTCCCGATAGATTTCATTCATACATTTTTTATTATTACATAATACAGAGACAAGAAAAATCATACATTTTCAAAATGCAATAACAACCACTTGATTACTTTGCAGAATGGAAAAAAGGAATCCTCCGGTGAACAAATTAACGCAAAACAAACATTAGATTTAATAGTGTCGAGAACATTAGCAGAAGATGGCGCAAATGAATATGCTGAAGAAGGATTATCAGAAGAAGAGGAACAAGCTGTACAACAAGAAGGAGAAGAAGCTGCCGAGGGTGAGGAAATCGCTGAAATAGAAAGAGACGGTGAAGGAGAAACGGCCACAGTAGGAGAAGAAACTGTACAAGGCGAAGAAGTTCCCCAAGGTCAAGAAGTCACGAAGGGAGAAGAAACCGCAGAAGGAGAGGAAACTGTAGAAGGCGAAAAATTCTTAGAATATGAAGACGTAACAACATTCGTTGAAACTGTGGAAAAAAAAGAAGAATCAAAAGAAGTAGAACCATTAAGAAAACCACCATTCAAACCATTTTTTGCAGTGGACGATAAATATTTGAAAACTTTGGAAGACATTGCTCAATCCTTTTTAATGGAATTACAACAGGCATCAAGTACATGTAAAGAAAAGGATGTAAAAAAAAGAGCCAAGAAACATACGAACAAACTTGCAAAAGAATACGCAAAAATTTTTAAACAAAAATAAAATACACGATTACTAAAAGGACCTAATTTTTATTCGGTTCATTAAGAACTGCAATGCACACAATAACGGTCCCTATATTTTTATATAATTATAAATTATGCAAAATGCCCATATATTTTTTTATCATTCATACAAAATTATACAATATCCTTCCGGGCACATAGGCATAAATAAGTGTAAACTCTAATGAGAATAAATTATATGTTTTTTCCATTAATGCATTACAATCATAATGAAATGAGAAAACGAAGAACAAGAGGAAGAACAAGAACAAGAAAAACAAGAAGAACAAGAAGAACAAGAAGAACAACAAGAAGAACAACAATCATAACAAGAACAACAAGAGCAACAAGAAGAACAACAACAACAAGAAGAGCAACAAGAAGAGCAACAAGAACAACAACAATCATAACAACAAAAAGAAAAATACAATAAAAAAAGAAAAAACGAATATGAAGATTCTATGTATTGAAAAAGACTAGACATGATGATACAGAAACAAAAGGAAAAACGAATTTATTTCTAAAAGCAGGAATAAAGAAATAAACGCTTAAAATAGGAATGGACTAAATTTGCAATATTGAAGAGCAATAATAAATAGACTCCGTAAGTACTTGACCAGCTCTACAATTTACATTCACGCACACATGGCTGTTTCTTAAAATGAATTTATTTTCATATATGCTATTTTTGCAGAGGTACCGTATATATATGTATACGTTTGTATGGTTTTTTACAATGTCTATATACCCATACATGTATAATGTAATATGCGGAAATGTCAATAAGGCACATGGCTAAGAAAATATGTTTTGTTCTAATTCATATATAAGTGGGCACATAAAATCTCATGAACATAATTTATTAACGAATTAGAAGCAGAAGTGATTGACTGTGTTTAATTATAATTTGAATTATAATTCCAGAATGGGAAAAACATGTTTTAACTTGTGCCTTTCAAAAGATAGGCAGTAAATCTATATTTTCACTATTAAGAAAAGATCCGTATTAGTCTCTTTTAATTTAAATATGGAATATGTAACATAAGTGCAGTTAAAAAAAAACAGAAAAGGGTAATGATAATACGATATTCGTATTAATACAGTTCGTTCTTTATTTTAATTGCCCATAAGGCATAAACCAAGGAGAAATTCCGGACATTATTTCATGGGCGAATAAAATATATTTAGCAGCTGGATATCATGATATTTAAACTTTCTATTTAAAAGATTGTCAATATCAAATAAAAATCTTGTTCTTAGTATCCAAAAATTATTCCTGTCCCTTGCGAAGCTTTTCGTTTCAACCTTCAGATAATAGAAAAAATAAAAGAAAGGAATAATTAAGCCACATGCTCTTTTTTTTTCACCTTCATGCCCTTCCATAATTATGTAGGATCTCTAATATAGGGTGCATAGTTAGCAAAAGTGGAAAAAAAGAAATAAAGTAATTTCGGTAAATGAAAAGACTTGTGTAAAATCTCTACTGTCCTATAAAACAATATAAACCGAAAATTGTGTGATTGTATAAGTACATATCAATAAGATATTTTTTTGAATATTCGATTCCTCTTTTTCATTATAACTAAATTCAACGAACTATAGAACACAATAATAGTACAGGGAAACCGTGAATTCCCGTATTCACCTTCAACCATCACATATAAAAGTGAAAATCTAGATGTATCTCTTTATAACTTCCTATTCCTTATTGAAAATTTTGATATTATTTTATTTCTACTACTTTGTTTTCGTATACCTATGTTTGATTATGTCTGGAAAAAATTATTTCTTACTAATATATTAATGTGTAAGAAAAAATGTAGGGGCTTTCAAAACGCTTACCATTGCAACTATTCAAGATCATAGGAGTTAAATAATTTATATTATTTAAAATAATTTCTTCTTTATATTAATTTTTCAAATGAAACGATTTTATTATTATTTCTTTTTTTTTTTTTTTAAACAAAAATCATAAAAGATTTCCTATTTAATTATCAGCATACTATATAATGAAAAATGATCAATTTTCTTGTTCTTTTTTCGTTTTCATCATTTTAAAACATTTCCTTCATTTCTCTTTCATTGCGAAGGAAATGTAATGCAGCCTCTACAACATTATGCTGACTGGGTGCAGTGATAAGTGTTTATATTTACAATCATTAGAGGAACTTAAATGAACCAATGATATAGTAAAAAGGAGTGATTTGCCATTAGTCATACTTTTGTCATGGAAGAAACGAAATTCACTCATAATTAACAAAGGATATGTAAAAGACATGGATGTTGTCTCCCTATTGAGTATTTTATTAAGATGGCTTTGTCAGTATTCCTCCTAATGTCATATACGCAGAATGTACGTATGAGTATCTATATATATATTACCACGGGGAAAACAAACTTATATCAGCATCCCCCTTTTGACATGTGTAACAGGTTTCATCCAATAATTTTTCACTAGGTTATTCTGCTTTTTTACTGTTGTTCTACATCTTTAATCCATTTTTTTATTTTGCCAAACACAGAGAATAAAGGTAAAACAAAGCTGGCTATGCATCAAAAGAATGCGAAAAAAAATATATAAATAATTCATAAATCGCTGTTAAAAAACATAATCATAATTTTGTTTATATAAACGAAGTCATATATATAATAGATAAGTTCACCCGTGAGCAAACATGGAATACATTTACAACATGTGTAGATATTTTTACAAATGCACTTTTAAAAAAAAACAAAAAAAAAAACAATACAGAAATAATTCACTAAGTGCTCCGTTATCCCATAAATTCATAAAAAAAAAAAAAAAATAAATGTTTTTTTCTGCAGAGCAATTATATAAAAATATAGTAAATAAATAGAAGAAATATTTTCTTAGTTGTTTTTTTTTTTTTGTCTCGTATACTTGCAACTTCTTTTATCCTGTCAACAGAAAAATTCGAAGTTCAAATAACGAATTTCATTAAGGATTAAAAAATTCCACTCCATAGTGGCTTTTAATTTTTGTGATTATTATATACTACATTTTATAATAACAATTCATTGTAATAAAAATAGTAATAATGTATTTCTAACCAAATACCGAATAAATGAATCTATCATTATATGTATATGCCTTCACATAATCTTAGACAAATAAGAAGCACAGAAAGAAGAAAAAAAAAATACATAAACAACATACAAATAATTAAACATAACAGAGAAGTAGCATTTTTCGAAATACATTAATAATACAACGTAGCAACCAAATTGATATTGTCATAAAATATTAAAAAACAAATTTATGAAAATGCTCATGTCCCAGTGTCTCGCCCTATTTACTATCCTATATGTCTGCTATTTAAGAAATAATATTATAGTAAGATAAAAATTGCTTCTAGGCAAATATGCACAAAGAATAAATGAATTCATTAATTATGTCTAACATTTTAAGTTCATATTACGAACAAGTATACATACATCTTAAAATTTTATTTAGTCATCTCACCATGGAAGGTGTTTGGCTCTAGACGAAGCAGAACTTGAAAATCTCATGGACTTACATGACATAGAAACAGTACAAGGTACTAGTGGTGAATTGAATAACGGATCTAATGACCAATTAAGTGAGGAGTGGGATACCTGCAAGATAGCTCTTGAGGAAGAATTTCAAAACTTTATGGTGTCTTTAGAAAATAATATAGACGACACATTGCTAGAGGGAAAAAATGAATGGGATGAATGGATCCAAAAAATGCAGTATAAATGGTCACATTATCATGAATTAATGAGCGAAACATATAAATCTTATATCTATGAAAGAAGCGCAACCTGGAGTGAAAATGATTGGAAACGTTACATAGAAATAGATTGGCATAGATGGATAAATAATATTGAAGATGATCTCAGTAAATTAATACAAGAGAGATGGGAACAATGGAAAGCACACCAAATGATGACATGGTTAATGAGCAATTGGAAAGATGAAAAACAGAATTATATTGATAAATTAGAATCCAGAAAATATTCAAATACGATAGAAATGAAACTTTTTATGAAGAAGTGTAATAAAATAATTCAATGGAAAACAGAAAAATGGGAAAGTTGGATACAAGATAAAGAGGATTTCATTACAAATCTTAAGAACGAAAAATTCTTACAATGGAAAGATGATTACTACTTTTTATTTAATAATTGCAGAAGCGACTTTATTGAAAATTGGATAAACAAAAAATAGTGGATTTTATGAAGTGCAAGCAGAACAAACTGATGTTGCAAACGTGCGCCTAAACGAATAATTCAGGGAATGCAAAAGTAAGCCTTACTACGTTGTTACAACTTCCCTCAATTTAATTAGGAAAATTTTCATGTCAATCTATGAGAAGGAGAAGGGATGGAAAGATAAAATAATAAAATAAAAAACAACAAAATAAAACAAAATAACAACTAAAAAGACACAAAAACAAACACCAAAATGTGAAAAGGCCAAGAACATAAAGAAATTCATACTGACAGTTACATTACAATAACTTCGTGTAGAGATAGGGCGAATAAGAAATATTGAACCGCTTATACATTCATAAAGAAAATTTTTACGAAATTTAACATAGTCGAAATAAATCTGCAATAACAATGTTTCCATCCTTAAACTTATGATAAAATAGCGCGTAAATAACATTATAAGTTCCCTTTTGACGTTTTATCCATATTATGAAACCTTCCATTATAATACAAAATATGGTGTACATCTTCCTTCAGGCTTTATTTTTTTATGCAACACCTCCTTAGTATTACAAACAATGCTTTTTTTTTTTTTTTTTGTCTTTTTGTTTTTCTAATGACAAGTAGTAAATTACGCCTATGTAAAATACACGTAATAGGCCAATTATGACGTTTTTATTTTCTTCGAGCTCTGCAACAACATCTATTAATAAAGAATTACTGACATTATTTGTTGAATTTAAAAATTTATAAAAGCACCATTCAAAAAAATTACCTAGCTAAATCATAACACCAAAATGCTTTAAATGACTTCTTCGAGGTATCTTTTTACGAGGCATCAGATATTTGGCAGCGTCTTTGTGCTTTAATGGGAGATACACATTAGACAGCGCAAGTACATAATTATATAAATATGTATATATACCTAAGAATTACGTTTATGTTGTTTAACTTTTAAACGTGCAACATGAAGTTGCTAAAAGGTATCCATCAATTTTTGACACACCCATTTTTGAAGTAAAATAATTAGCCCAATAAATAAACTACAAGTCCCATTCAAAAACAGAGTGAGAAGTTAATGAGATGTTGTTACAACTTTTCAAATGTAGTAAATGTCATGCTTGTGCGACTGCTTTAAAACGCCAATCAGAATAACACCATTTGTTGCATTTAATGAGGATTAAACCTCTTAACAATTGTTAACAAGAATAAAATGAGACTTGGGAATAGTAACTTTTACAACATCTTCCCAGATGTGTATTACAGGACGATGGCTTCAACCCAACTGCTGGAGGTACTGATGCTTTTCAATAATAGTTTAAAGAAAGAACAGAAATTAAATATGAAATGTATCTTATGTGGCAAATAAAACCATACATACGTCATATATGTGCAACGAAAATGAAAAAAACTTTAATGTTTCCTTAAAGCAAATGTAAAGATAGTTACCTGTGTATATAACTCTCATCATTATAGGGAATTTACGCTTGAAAAACGTTCTTTAATAATGCTTGTTTTTGAACAACATATATTTCTATATTGTTCCTTCTACACTATTAATTATTATTGAAACATTTTTACACATTTACCATAATTAAATTATCAAGTTTTTAATAAAACCTTTTTAGATTTCTGTCCACAATTCTTAGAAAAAGAAAATTTTAGCTCTTTCTCTTGAAGATGTTTTCTTTTCAGAATTTTTCTTCATTTTTAATTTTTCACCCTTATAATTTTTTTAATTATAGCGCTTATTTTTCGTTTTTCTCATTTAGCAGTATTTTTATTCAGCTACATAAACTAACGAATGTGAATTTAGAAACTTGAGCTAAATGCAAGAAAGATTTTTGAAATAGAAAAATAAACACCTGCACGAGGGGTAACGGGGTAATATATGACATTACTGTTAGACAATACGTATTTCTATCATGATGTTATTTTGTAGATGATGGTATATAAAAAAAAAAAAAGAAAGAACATATTCATGATTAAATCTATGGTTTAACTAATTTTTATTTTAAAAAATATGTAATTAAAAAAGGTTTAATAATGGACACAACATATAAATACAGACGAAAAATAACATTTAAATAAATGCCAATTTATTCTATAATTTTTTACTTTTTTTTAGCAATCTCAATTTTTTACATCATCAGAACCAATTTTATCTCTAATGGTTTTCTGTAATTTTTGGCTCCCTAAATACTTTTTACAAACATTTAGGTGGTCCGTTTGTTATTATTCATTTTTCTATATTAAACGATACCATTTAACTTTTCCCATTTTTTTTTTCAAATTAAAATATATATTTTTTATTTTTATAAACTTATT